GCGGCTGGTGGGTGCAAATGACGGATCGTCGGTGCCATGGTCCCACAGGCCCATGCTCTCTCCCCCAGAGGGGAAGCTCAGGCCAGCCTCCATTCCCACCTGGGCAGTACTACCCTGTCCGATAGGGCTGCTGGGAGTCGGACTGGACTCGGTGGCCGTGAGGTGCCGTGGGGTCGGGCTGAGTCAGAATTGGCCCTGTGGCGCACGACAGCAATCTTTGCTGGTCATCTCCGCTGGAGCGGCTGGTGGGTGCAAATGACGGATCGTCAGTGCCATGGTCCCACAGGCCCATGCTCTCTCCCCCAGAGGGGAAGCTCAGGCCAGCCTCCATTCTCACCTGGGTGCTCACCTTGCGTTGGTTGGTTGGTTTTCACTCTCCGCCCAGGGGCCAAATTCCCCCGTGAGTTCTGAAAAGGCACTAAAAACTCCTTTGAAAATGTGGCTCAGGAAGACCGCAGCGGCCCTCGGTCCTGGGTGTTCGGAATGACGTGCTGATCACCTCTCCCTCCCACAAAAGCGGCTTTTCCCTTCCTCTCCAGCCAACAGACCTCAGGAACGCGGGGATGAGCTTGCAGACTCTGCACTGGAGATCTTCAAACAGGCCTCGGCATTTTCCAAGGTGAGGCGCCTGTGAGCAGGCCTGTGTCCTCTTAGGCCCGTGGGGCTCTCCAGGCCTCTGTCCTCCTTGACTGCCCTCCCGGGAATCTCGCAGACCTTCTCTCTGCTTCCGTTCCCTGCCCACGTGGACTTCCGAGGGAAGAACACAGGCAGCGCCTGTTTCCTTTAGGCCTGGAGCCCGGGCCTTAGAACGGGAAACCACTGCTGGTGTAAAGGCTGCAGGCTTTACCCTGGGTCCCCGCTCTCCAAGGGGGGCACAGCCTAGCCTGAACTGAGCTTGTTGTGGCCTGGCTAGCCCGAAGCGGACCTCCAGCTCGCCATTCTAGGTCTCCTGACATTGTCCATCCAGGGTGATACGGGGAGGCTGAGGCCGTGTGTGTGTGTGTGTGTGTGTGTGTGTGTGTGTGCGCACGCGCGCGCGCACACGCGCGTGGCCTGCCTACCTGCCTGAGCCCTACCTCTTTCCTCAGCCCTACCTCTGACTCCATCGCTACTTCTTTTCCTGCCTGGGAGGCCCTCCTGTGCATAGGTCCTCTGGGCCATAGACCAGGTGGAGCTTCTTGGGAGCACAGAGAACCGCACAGAAAGTTTGCACTCCCAGAGAAGAGGCTGCAAGGGCCGCCTTTCACCGGGCTTCTGGAACTCTAACATGGCACTTCAGGTTGGGGGCAGAGGGGTCTCCTTAGTGACCCTCAAGAAAGGGTCTTGGCCTCAAACTGCTATTATGGAGAGCCACCCACCCGGTACAGTTCTTCTCCGCAAACTCCAGGCTGTGGTCTTTGTGGAAAACCCTGGTTTGGGGACTCTATCAGAAATGCCCATTTTCAACTGAGCTTGGTAGCAGCTGGCATGTCACTGAGGGCTGGTGGCCGCGGCTGGCTGCCAGTTCCACTTTCCTCTTCTCCTTTCTGACCCTGCGGGTTTCTTGGCGAGTAGTGGTGGCCGTGGGCAAAGCCGCTGTCGTAAACAGAAGCAGAAGTATACTATTCAC